GAATTTGTAGAGTCTGTCTTAGTTACTATTGTGAAGAGGGGGGGAAAAACTCAGTGAACTCTATTAAAAAGATGGATGCATGGCTGCGAGAGCTCTTGACAATTGAGGTTTCTCTCTGAAGTGTTGTTTAACGTACGTATGACAGAAGAAATGCAGGGGAAGGAAGCAAATTTTCATACGCATTTTTGAAGTACTTTGTATGTAGCAAAATAACAGATGATTGAAACACAAATTCTGTATAGCTGAGAAAGCAAAACATCCACATTTTGCAAAGCTAAAATTCATGTCAGGAAATGAGCAAGAATATTTCCTAGGTATTTGAGCTATATGTAGGCTGTGTGGCTATGATAGTTGGGTCTGGTCAAACTATTCTGATCACTTCTTTTGATGAGACACTGGCTGGGACAAGACATTTCTGTTTTAAGTTTCCAAGCTGATAGGTTACATTTCCTGTGACCTGCAAATTCCAGTAAAAGCCCCTTTAAAGAAGAAATCTTCCTTCTCCTTAAGCTGAAATGCACCTTACTGGATGAGATCATTGTCGTGTGTACCCTCTCTAATGCTGCTTTGTACATTGGAATCCATTTTGTGTAATACTAACTGTTTAGGTCGAAGCAGTCATTTCTGAACACTGTTTTGACACAGAATCATAGAATCAACCAGGTTGGAAAAGACCTTTAAAATCAAGTCCAACTGTTACTGCCACCAACCCATGTCCCTAAGGGCTTCAGCTACACAGTTTGTGAACACTTCCAGGGATGGTGGTGACTACCACTTCCCTCGGCAGCCTGTTCCAGTGCCTCACCACCCTTTCAGTGAAGAAATTGTTCCTTATAATTTTGGTTTGGTTTCTCAAGCAATTCAGATGGTGAAGTGCTGTGAAAGGTGACAGCTCAGGTTTTGCCCCATTTTCCATTGATACTGCTTGGTAGGTGTCATAGTTTAAACCCAGACAGACAGCTTGTTACCCACTCCCCCCCTTCTTGCCCTCCCCCTACTCCTGGGGGAACGGAGAGGAGAATCAGAAAGAATGCAACTCCCATGGGTTGAGATAAGAACAGTTTAGTAACTAAGGTATAACACAAATCACTACTGCTACCACCAATAATAGTAATGATAAAGGAAATAACAAGGGAAGAGAATACAACACCCCATCACCAGGCGACCAATAACTTGCCCCCCAGCCCGACCAAGCACCGACCGATACCTCCTCCAACCCTGCCATCCCTTCTAGCCCCTTCCGGGCCACTCCCAGTTACATCCTGGGCATGACGTGCTGTGGTATGGAATACTTCTTTGGTCAGTTTGGGTCAGGTGTCCTGTCTCTGCTTCCTCCCGGCTTCCCCTCCTCCCTGACAGAGCATGAGGCCCACAGAGTCCTTGGCCAAACCAAAACATCATTGTTTTTCAGCTCTGTTCCCAGCTGAAAGTCAAAACACAGCACTGCACCAGCTACCAAGAAAGAGAAAAATGACTGCTACGGCTGAACCCAGGACAGTAGGTTATTCCTTTTCCTTTATATGTTCACACCTTTCAGGCAGCCTGTTATTTTGTTTTTCCTTTGCTGTTGCTTAGCTGGATCTCAAGTACTTTGTAAGAGAAAATGTTGCAAACCATTTTGATTATTAGTTGTTTTTGTTTGTGTTCTCTCTGCTAATTCTGATGGCAGAACCTCTTAGCTTTTAGAATGCATTTCTCGGCAGCATTAAATCACAGTCCAAAATAGAACAGTTTTAATAGGCTGTGTTTATTTATGTTTATGTGTTTATTGCTCTGCCTTACTTGCTTAAAATGATTTGATTTAAAATAATGCTTAAGTGTAAGTTGTTTACTTCAGAATTTCAGTTCAGCTATCGAGTCACTTTTGCACACTGTACAGAGGTGCAGTGTGAGTCTCATCACACTGTAGCTCTGTTTTCATCAGAATTGTCAGTTAAATATTTAGGCCCCAGTGACCACTTCTTCCTCTTCTGTAGAAGTAATGTCTTAGAGGTGGACCAATGTTCTCCAAAGTCCTGTAATGGTCTGGGAAATATTCTTGAAGAAGACACCACAGATCCTTGTCTGCTATTAATACTAAGGACTTCCCAATGAGTTCTGCAGCAAGTGGATGGTAAAACATTGTAATACATTGGATTAATAGTTGATGCCCATGTATCCCTGGGGTTTGCTACGTAGAGTGGGTTGGTTAGTTGCTTTGTGTCAATGTAGGTTAGCCAGCTGCATCTCCAACTTACCTGCCAGCTAATTTCTGATCCATCCAGGAAGGCAGAGATGCCACTGCCTAAATCTCTGTATGTTAGACTGATGTTGGTCTTGATTTCAGTACTTAGCAAAGTGGGTAGCTACCATTTCAGAATACTTGCTTTCAAAGTTCACTATATGCTCTGTCTCAGTTGTTTCCTTGGCTTTGGAGGAGGTGTTTTGACAGCCAACTTTATTTTGTAACGTTTTGTTCAGTGGTGTTGGTTGCAGATAATCCAAGAGACAAATGGTGGTAAAGTGAAATGAGGCCCATCTAATATTCAATTACGTATAAGTTGTTCATTTGTTCACCTTGGCCACCTGCCCAGCACAAATAGATACTTACTGTTGCCTAAATAAGTGATGCTGATTTTAAACTGCTCTGCAATTTGATACTTAAAAGAGTTCTGTGTTTATTTGCTGGCACAGGCTGCTCTAAAGATATTCAACCTCTTCATTTTGGCTTATTTTAAACTCATTACCTTGAGAAATAATTATGTAGACACTTCCCTGCATTAAATACAGGCAGCCTTTTATTTATTTATGAACAGCTCTAAATTTCAATTTCAGGGCATGCAGCTGAAAAATGGCTCTGCAGGGTGGGAGATGGTGCTGCCTCCTCACCCATTGCTGCAATGGAGCAGCAAGCAGTGGAGAAACAAAGTTGTGCCATTCTTTGCCTTGCCTGCTTCTTGAAAGGAGTGCAATAAATTGGGCAGTAGATACCCAGTCACCATGGGATTTGGCTGTGCTCACAAGAGGCAGGCACTGAACTGTATGTAAAGAGCTTAACACATTGGGGTTTTTTCTCCCATGAAAATAAAGCAGCAGTCCTGTAGAAAAAAGCAAAGTGAGCTGAGATAGAGATGTCTGAAAGGTGATTTGTTTGAAAAGAAACAGAGGCTTCCAGCAGCCACACAATAATTAACACAAATCTTAAAGCTTGCAGGGCTGGACTGATCCACATCTTGTAGTGATATTGATGTGGAATGTTGCCCTTTCCTAGTGATCTGAGTCACTGTTTACATGAAATGGGAATTGGAGCTTTGCTTGACTGTTGCACAGAACTGTGTACTGCAAATTGCATCTCTTAAGAATTGCTGGTTACAGAAGGCTGCTATTATCAATGGATAGCTGGGGGTGCAAAGAGATTTTATACAGTTGATCCAGTCTACAGAGAACTATACTAAAAGGAATTTGAGATGGGTGAGTTTCTGGGGAACTACAGACTATCAGCAAAACCTTGCATGTCCTTGGAAAAGGTGCAAAATGGGTAAAGGTCTTAAAAAGCCATGAGGACTGAGGGAATAATTGAGCTTTAGAGCTCAGACTTTTAGGCTTTTGCAACAATGTAGCAGAAGTTTTAGATTGCAGGTGTTGTTCATGTGAGATGATCAGGACCCTTTCAAATGCTTCAAAATCAGCTTCTCAAAATTAGACACTGCTATAATTATTCAGTAGCTTTGAAAATGCAAACCTCTTACTTGTAATAGCCCTTACTCCTACTAGACACTCCGTTGGAAGAAAACTACGCTATCAAGGAAAGACTGCACAAAGATCCTGGCAAGAACATAAGAACATACATATTAACCAAAGTATCACTAATAGCTCACTGGCTAGCACAAGATAGAGAATTAGGTGCTGTTAGCGTTCAGATTTTGGCTTTTTTGCCTTTTTGTTTGGACTTTATCACATTAGCCACCCATAAAGTGAGCAGAATAGTTCTACCTTACAGCAACTGTGCAAAGCTAACCCAGAACTTGTTAAGTGAAAGGTGCAATGGAAAAATGATATATTAATAATACATGTGCCTAAGTTTTATTGTTTTGCCTTAAGGAAGGTAGAAGGAGGTCCAAGATTTCATGGGCAGTGTTCACAATACGTTATTTTCCATAAAAGGATTTGTTTTGTGCCGAAGGTATGATGCAAACATACAAATGCACCAAAGAATTTGAAAGAGCTAGTAGTGGTCCTAATCCTATTTCCATTTCCATGTAAATGCCATACTTAATAGGACTGGGGCCCAGGGAGTTGTACATGTATTTAAATACATGTATGTATATGTGTGTGTGTGTATGTGTACAAGCAAATACAGAGAAAGATGTGTATAAGCACATATATTTGTGTGTGTGTACAAATACGGACAGCTAGGCACACATACCTGGGTGACATGGCTGAAGTGAAAAAAGGAACTGTGCAAGATCATACCTGCACAGGGAAGGACCTTAGTTATTACTCTTGACTACTATTTCAACACAGTAACTTGCTGTGGATCCTGTTCAGTGGATCAGGGCTGCTGGGGCTTCTGAATTTACTTGCAGCTACTTTCAACAGACTGATACTCTGCAACTCACATAGGTGACCTTCACAACAGTCAAGTAAACCCAGCTATTAAGTTGCATAATGAGATAACTGTCCTGCCTGTTGCAAATGTCTTCCTATGTGTCTATGCACATTGTACTTTGGCTGAGTGAGTCTGAGACCAAAAGCGATTACGTGCAGAGTAAATTATTCTGCACTTTAAAACTATGCCAAGTGTGATGGAGGCTCCTGCAGCTCTTTTGAACTGGTATTGAATGGTCTCATAGGGCAGAGTAATTGGAATGTTAACAGTGCAAATATGTAATTTATTTTCTTTGAGGCTGCAAAGGCCCATCAAGAATAATGGGGTTTATACTATATTTTTATGTGTGACATAGCATTTTCCTTAGGTCTTGTTGCATCTGGGAAAAAAAAAAAAAGCTAATGAAAAGGCAGAGGTTTATTATTATTATTATTTGCCATAAAGCAATAATAGTCTGAAGATCTTTGGCTGCTAACTTCAGTTGAAAATGGGATATTGCATAAGAGAGGATACACATTTTCCAGTTCTTCACAGAAAAGAAAATAAAGGAATCCCTGGCTTTGTTCTTTGTTTCTTTATATGGAGTATGCAGAGCAGCCTGAATGCTCTTCTGCTTCTTCCACCTGTTCTTGAGTTTTCTCAGGTTCATCTAAAGTGCTTATCTGCAAGTTGAAAACAAGAATGTATTAAAGTACAGAAGAGGTACATGTATTTATTATTTTGGGGATAGGATTTAACTAGTATCTGTTTTCAAAAGAATTTACCACTTACAGATGTAAGCAGTCAAACTGTTTTATCTGTGTTAAACTTTGTAAAGTCTAAGTACTTATTTTTGAGGCAAAATGGAAATTGAGCTCTTGGAAAAAACTTACATGGAAGCCAAGCAAATGTCTGGTGGTAAACTTTACAATGATTAATATTATATGTAGCCATTAGGTTCTGGCAGCTGGTCATTTAGAGGAAGAGTTTCAGATATGACCACAGGATTTAGGAGGCCACATCCTATTAAAACTCATTTTGCATTTGGTTTCCAAGGTACTTTTGAACAATCTCATTCCAGAGGTTTAATTGACAGGAGTGTGATGAACAGTTAAAAAGCCACGAACCCATCATTAGAATTGTTTATGTGGCTGACAGTCTCAAGGGACAAGTTAAGGAACACAAAGCCTGGCATTGGTGGCAGGCCCCTGTGAACAGCTGCTGGCTGCTGCTGTCATGGAGCAGGGGTGAGGGAACACCTCTTCCAAGAGTGGTAGTACTGGCAGTAGCTAGAGCAAGGATGGGAGAATTCCAGCATTTTCCATTCCTGGTTTTCTAACTGCATCCTTAGAGCTTCTTATTCCTCCTCCCATGGAAGACAGATCCAAATCCTTTACCTACTCTGTTGAAAGTCTCACTTGCCTCATGGTACAGTTCCACATGGTTTTCCAAAGGTTGACAAAGCAGCTTTCAGTGTCTGTCATTCATCCAGGATCTTCCACAACCTTAACACACTCTCAAACATATCCCTTTACCAGGGACAGTGAGAGTAATTCCTTCAACTGACTATTAAACTAGGATCCAGTTGCCAAAATCATAAACATCATTTGCCAGTTCAGATGTTCAAGGTTAACCTGCCTTTCTCCTAGTTGCTACTCTAGAGTGCATCATCTAAAGCTGGTGTCATCTGTCAGCCCATATGTTAGATACCTTCGGGCTCCTCCTGAGGCATTAGGAGCCTATATTGAGTCAACTCTGTTGAACATTTCTTGTGCAAAGAGATCATGCCATCTGTAGCAGCTACTATGATCATATAACAAGGATATAGCGGTACTGCCATGGTGTTTCACACACTGACAAATGGCTGAAATTGAGGAACCTGTTAGCCAATTGTAAGCCAATAATCATCCTATTGGTCTAAGAACAGAGAAGTCCCTTCACTCCTGAAAGAGGAGACTACAGTTTTCTGTTGTGCTTCTGAGGGCTCCATAGAGACTTGTGTTATCTGCTTGTAATGCTAAATAACACCCTATGGTTCAATAGCCTTTTTTGTGGGATAACATTTTGGGGCATCAGTGGCATGGCATCAGCTTTAGTCCAAAGAATGTAGTAGCTGCTAACAAAACTTTCTGTCACCTTCCTCCTCTTCTTAGTTTGGTGCCTGGGGTCCTGTGACTTGTCACAGCTATCAGAGTTACATTCCCTCACACACTTAGTAACTGTTACACATGAAGAATGGTATTACTTTGACTAAAACCCCTATTTAAAATCCAGTGATGTATTTTTATTTTTTAAAAATTCTTCCAAGCTTTATCTGTAGTGTAACTGGTAAAATAATGTGATATGCAAAAGGAGCAGAGGTAGCTACTTGTTAAAAGAAGATTTCTAAAAGCCCATCATACATGCTGTGGCATTTTAATTTGCTATGAAGCTCTTTAATTCTGTAAATTACAGCAGATGTTAAGTGAGTTTCTCTGGAATATTAATATGACTGTGCTGCATGCAGAAAGTACAGATTTCAGGCAAAATAAAAAATCACTATATCATTCCAATGTGTTAGATAAAAAGAAACTGCTGTGCTCAGTGGCTTATGGATAGGAAGTGGAACAGTCCAGGAAGGTGTCATTTGTAATTAAAACTCCTAAAACCACAGTGAAGGAGACTCATGTCCAAAGGTGCCAAAGAATATTCTAAATTTTCTGTTTGTTTCTTGTCTTTTAATGATTACTGCTTTGTTCTAGCATGAAAGCATTTAGATCTAATACTTAATAACTCTTCCTCTGTGTATTCAGAGAGATTAGTACAAGGGCTGTATCAGTCCTGAAGCAATATGAATTAAAGTGACTTGTCTGATGAACTCATGGCACAGCATCACTGCCAGAAAAAATGAGGAACATTCTACGTAGGTCAAGCACCTGCAAACTGGGCTAGAAAGAACAATGTATGGACAAATCCAGTGTAACTATTAGTATCACTTACCTAGATAGACAATGTTCCTTAAAAGCCTTATAAATATATGGAGTAAAAAACAGTTGTGGAGGCAAGAAATTTAAGGCAGCTCTCTGAAGTATAGGAAGAATCTACAATACCTTACAGATCTCACTCCAGTCTCCTTGGCCTCTTTTGTTGACAGCACGGACTTTAAACAGGTATCCTGTATTTGGATCCAAATTACGTATCTCCAAGTTGTGCTGCTGTATTTTGCTTAGCTGGCCAGCTAGTTGTGTCTGGACAATGTTATCAGGACTAGTTCTAGCAAATTCATAAAACTCTATCTCAAATAAGTCCACCTCTTCTGTGGGACAAGTCCAGTAAATCTGTGAAGTGAAAAAAATCTGTAGTACACAATTAAGTCCTCTTTATTTTTGCTTATTTTAAATTTTGCTTTTTTTTGGAAGCCCTTGTGCAGCAGATTTTATTTTTGAAATGCCAGTGCAGCTGAGATTTCAACTATGGCATGAGATATATGTGGAAGATGTGTAGTTTGTCTTCTTACTTGGAAAATGCTAAGCTTCCTTCTGGGAATTTCCTAGTACCCTTTTCTGACACACTAAAAGTAATACAGACTGACAGCAACCAGCACTTTACAGCATTCACTTAGGATCCTATGCAGCTAGCATCTATGAAATGTAAAATGAGAAAAATTATATGGATATGATGTTATCACACTGAAGGCCAAGACCAGGAAGGAATTATTTGATCTGATATAGAGATACTTAAATACAAACATGGTACATCTGTTTCTTTCTGCACCAGACCTTACCATGTAATATATTTATATCACATATATAAAGATCCTATTGACTACAGTGGGAATGCAATACCATTCAATTTGCACTTCAGTTTACCTCAGAAGGCGAGTTTGGAATGCATTATCTTCTACATATGCAATATTTGAACTGATAGTGTAGTCTTGATTACTCAAACTTGCATGGGTTCAAACTCTATAACAGCCTGAAAATATAACAGCCTCTTCTATATATTAGGATTTCTTAATGGCTTACTTTGGCAGACCTTGAGTAAACAACAGTCTGGTATATGAGCACAGATACTGGGACTGGGACTGAGTCACTGTCTTTAGGTTGTGGACTTGAATCTTTAACAATCTGATATTTTCTCTCTTTTCCTGGAGTTTCGCAAGCTGTATCCTTGTACACACACACTTCCTTACCCTGTGTAGGATGACTGGAAGGGTTAGAGTTTGGTCTTCTGAGAATGTCTTTCGACAGTACACCTAAATCAAACAAGGAATTTGAAGACGGGCTTTGGAAAAATATTCCTTGCTTGGATACTTGAGTACTTGAGGCACCCCCTTGAACCGCTCTCTCTGGGTTAAAAGAATAGGGATATTTTTCTGCTTCATTTTCCAACTCCATTATTCCAATAAGGGATGGAACAAGTCCCTGTAAAATGGAGACCATTTCATCAATGTTGAGGTGAACTTTGCTTTAGGGATCTTCTCTTAGACGTGGACTAGGTTTGAAAAGGGAAGGAACTGTATTTTCTATTTCTTTCACTAAGCAGTGTGCAGATTGCAGAAATACAACTTGGCTTTCCTCCTCAAGAGCCTCTTTACAGTATTGAATAAGGCCATCCATATATGCCAGCTGGCTGGACGTATAGTTTATATAGCCTGAAATTTCTTTCTGTTTTTTAAGTTCAATGTTTTCAAGCAACTCCATCATCTCCTTTTCTTGTTGATGAAGAACCATATTTAGTTTTAAGAATCCATTTCTAATCTCCTTTCTTTTGGTGTCCTTATAGGTCTTGAATTTATTTTTTGACAGGATAACTTCCATTAGATCATTGTCAATTCCTTGGTGTACTGTAAGAAAAAGTAAAATCAGGTCAGTAGTTCCAAATTCAGATTAAAATGCAGTGGTTACAAGAGGCAGAATGATAGATTTTAGCTTAAAAAACTTGTAGAATGCTTAGTAGAACATGGGACAAGAATAAGGATTCTGGTATTTTCCTCTTCTCTCTACCTCTAGTAAGCCTTGTGGGAAATTGTTTGGGTTAAAATATTCACATTTGGGTATAGAAAATTTGCCATTTACTTACTACTTTATTATTATTTCCTCATTCAAATTTATGTCCCCCAAAGTGGGCTTGATAATTTTTACTTCATTACATGGGAAATCCTGAAGCTTAATTTATTGTAGCTTTCTAATGGCTTTCAAAATTCACTATGCCTCTATGAAATTAAAATGATGACAGCAAACGCGCCCACATTATGTCTGTGGTTGATGGTATATTCTTCTGATGGCTGTTATGTGAAGGTGTTATTAACTCTTCTGACACTAAAATTTGTCAGCTCTAAAAGAACAGAAGCAAACATACCAAAGGCTGACTGTACATTCCAGTGCCATTCAGCTAACATTAGGAAGCAATGTCACATTACAAAATCCTGCACACATATTCTACATCCCTCTTCTCAAATTTAAAACAGTTGCAAACTGGAGAATTTAATGCTTCCAGCTTTTTCTTACTGTGCATGGTTCACTTTCACCTTTCTGAAAATTATTTTCCATGCAAATTCGTTATGTACTCAACATCTGTGAAATTACATGCAAAGATCAAAATTAAAAGAAATCTGTAAAATCCTAGTGTTCATCCCCTTAGTTGCTATGGATGCAGTCTTAAAAGGAATGAATTGCTGTGTTACCTCAGAAAAACATGACTGCTTTGCCTCTTAGCCAGCATGTGCAGAAGCATAAAACTGACTGAGGAGGGAGAATTCTTCAAACATATATTTCTGATTAAAAAATACTCATCATCTATCCTGCAGATGTAATTCTGTTTATTCCATGCTGGGTCCTGCAGTAGGAAATGAAGGTTCCCCTCCCTTAATCATAGAATAGTTAGGGTTAGAAAGGACTTTATGATCATCTAGTTTGAACCGCCTGCAATGCGCAGGAACGCCTCACTCTAGACCATGTTGCCCAAGAAAGACTGTCCAACCTGGCCTTGAACACTGCCAGGGATGGAGCATTTACCACTTCTCTGGGCAACCTGTTCCAGTGAAATGCACATTTGTGTTCCCATCCCACAGACAGATCCTTCATTCTCTAATAGTTGAGTCTGGTTCATGATGCCACAGTTATAGGCTTGTTCCTTTTGTATTTCTACACTGGGAACACACCACCTTTCTGGTCCTCGTGCTGTGCAGAGAATTGATATAGCTTGTCAACCTTATGTTCAAGGTTTTTTTCTTGATGAGGCATGGGGAAGTTTGAAAAGCATCAGAAATACATACCTTTTGTAAATTATTCAATTGTACCAAAGAGGGAAGTAGCCTCTCTTGAACACGCGACTCCCAAGGGAATAACCTTATGATTGTTGTGTAGTGAGCTCTTGCAGAACCCACAGATCAGTTCATGGTCATCCAGACAGTATTCAGAGAGGGCTGAGTTGTTGTGCAGTAAGGAGTGCTACTGTTCATTATCTTTGTGATGTGCTCTGGTTAAAATGTGGTCTTGAAGACTATACTTGTTGTGACTTAAATACAGACATTCACAACAATAATTGATTCCACACGTTCTACATCTTTTGGTTGCCACTCTTCTCTTCTTGCAAGTTTCACAGTAGACTGGTCTTTCATTACGGTCAAACCTCCACCTCAGAAAGCCATGTCTGTGCATGTATTTCTTGGCTAGTTTTGCTCTGAGATAATCCTTCCTCAGCTGAATTTGTGTAGTCAAGGCAGTGTGCTTTGCTACACACTGGGCATAAGATGGTACGAAACTTTTCAGTTACTTCAGCTCTGGTCTTGCTTTTATTTATACACTTCTCACAAATGCAGTGGTTGCACGGCAGCATAAGTGGTTGGAGAAACAGTTCCTTACTGTTGTAATGACGGACACATTATTCCTAGTTCTAAACCTAGGCATGACTTCTTTTGACTTAAACAAAATTGGGAAAAAAGAAACAACAAACAACCCTAAGAACTCAGGCAAAAATATCAGAGTATTAGGGTACCACCTAAGACACAAAATCATAACATAAACAGTTCTGCTTTGCATACCAGCTGTCCTTTTACTCTGACTGGATACTTTATTTAAATAAGGAAGAATCAATTTCTTTTCTTTTCCTTCTCACAATTATCTCACAGTATGTTAATATATAACAGACAGACATCTCACTTATTGTAAATCTATATGAATTTGTTGAGTTATTCCTGGTGGCCAAATGAGAAGAAGAATACAGTTTGGTTTAGTACAGAGTGAAATGTGTTTTGTCTCCTTTTCTTTACATTTCTTAAAATGAAAACTAAAAAGGAGTGAAGAAAAGCATTTAGTGAAATTCAAATTAAACCCTTAATTTTGTTTCAGAGGGTATTAAATTATTTACAACAACTTTGGCAATGTACTTAGAATACCTTAGTTATAATGAAAAATTAAGGCAATAAATGGCAAAATGTTTTTCTTATGATTTTCAAGATGGAATATTTCTTCAAGAAATTAACACAACTGTTTACCATTTCCAAAGAAGTATTTAGGACAATTCTGCTTACTACAGTAATACACATTTACATAATGTCATCCTAAGTTTTAGTCATTTAAAAAACTCACCTCTGAATTATTTCTGATTTCTGGAATGAACTAAACTTAGTGTCAGTAGCAGGTTTATTATCACTGATTATTTATATTAATTGCAAACACCTTCAGGTGGGGATTTTTATTATTATTATTATTGTTATTATTAATATGCTTTTTCAGGATATGCTAATCCCTGTTTTCTTCAAATCTTGATAGTCCTAACCTGCCTCTTAGCCTGTGGATATTATCCTTTTAAAAACAATACTAATTTTATAATGCCTCCTTGAATATTTTCTATAGCCTTGACAAGAGCATCATTATTCTAGACAAGAGCATCATTATTCTAGGTGGACACCTTGCTTTTAGGCCTCCATGGTCTGGCTCTCTGCTGTGCTTTTCTTTAGCATCCATGTTGATACTGCTTTCTTTCCTGCCTTCTCTCCTCATATGTTCAACCATACTATCTAATCCTTCTGTCACTCTAAACAACAGTAAAAATCTCTAATAAGCTAAAGAATAGAATTTTCTGTTGCTATGATGATTCCTTCTGGTCTTAAAAGTTTACCTAGGTTGGAATTAACCATGCATTTCTAGAGGTCCTGTCAATTCTTCCTGGTTTAGCCTGGAGCTCTTCTGATAACTTAATTTCATTTTTATCTTCTAAGACTATTAGTATACCTTCTTTGTGTTCTGTACCATTTCTTGAGCCTTTGTAATTATTTTGTCTCCTTGTTTTGATTATACCTGCTTCCTTCCACTTTTGGTTAACACCAGTTTTACTGCTCTTTTACTTCAGTTTTCCTTGTATTCTTGCCTGTAGCCTCCTTGCTACAAACACATCCCTGTTTTCTTCCTTGTTCTAAGTTTTTCTGTGCATATTCCTTCTTGTTGCTATATAGAATTTACACTGTGAAAATCCATAAGTATTCATGGATTTTGTCTGGAAATCAGGTGGTCCTAATTACAAATGCAGTGATGTTCTGGAATGGTCTTTGCATCAGAGCAATGAGCATAATATTTAACTACCATCAGGGTAAAACTACTTTCTCTGTTTCTTAGAAGAACGATACCCTGTGGTTATTTGAAATAGCTCAAATTGCTCAACAGATGTATGTTTCTAAATGGCACACATCCATTAAGACATAATGTAAATTGGAACACACTAGAAATTAGAGTCCTTAGCTACACACTGAACAAGTCCTGATGTTCTTGGGTGACGTGGTTTGTTGTCAGACCTGCAGCACCTGCTTTCATAATACTGACATTCTGTATTCCCTTCATTGCAGCAGCAGCAGCATTTGCAGTCTGGGTCATTTGCACAAGAGCAGCAGCACCACCAGCAATTTGCATGCTCTGCAGATGAGCAGTGGCAGCACTGGCAAGTTTTGCCATTGTGTGGACATGGGAAACATCCGCAGTTCTGCTCATTGGTAAGTAAGAAACACCAACACAAGCAGCAATGTTCATTGCTACTGTGGCAAGTTTGATAGTACCAGTTTAAACAGCTTGGCCAGATTGAGCAGGAATACCAATTTTCATCCATCCCTCTGTCACATATTTGGAAGGAAGTCCATTGATCATGTCAGCTGCTCTTCACACTACAGGATGAGCTCTGATTGTTGTGTCAAGCTCTGTGCCATGGCAATAGGTTTCATTCTAATCAGGGAGTGATGTCACAGTGAAATATTCCAATAAGGAGACAGGCAGAATTTTATGCACAGGTACCTGATATAGTGATTACATCATCTATACAGCATGATAACTATAATTGTTCTTCCTTAGTTCCTTGAAAGCATTTACATCATTCTTCATTAAGAAGGCTGTTATCTTATTAGGACTACACACTTCATAGCCATTTTGTTGGTTCAGCTGGTGTTGCAAGCAAATCAGCTGAATCAGGCCCTAACCAGAGATAGTGAGAGGTTTCTCATCAGGTCTCCATAAGACTTTAAGCATAACTAGCACATGTGAAAGGACCTTACACTTGAGATGCATCTTGATGCATATCTTTGTAACTGCCATAGTTATTTTAAACCCTTGTCTGCCAGTGTTTATGCTGTTATGGCATTTGTTCCCCCAGGGTCTGAAGAAAAGAACTTAGCTTGGATTGTAGGTTCAGTGCTATTGCTCATTTGTTGTGGACCTGCTTCTTTTCCCGCTGATTCCACATGTGTTTCTTCCCCTTCCTTAAGTGGCCACTCAATGCAATATCAGACATATAATTTCAGTTATTATTAAGTTACTTTGTATTAGGCACCTTTTTCATTCATTTAGTTGATTTATTCCAAGATTTATATAGCATTTCTGTCTATAAATATAGTAATTTTAAATAAATATGAAAATAATGTAACGAATACACGAGTTTCCCAATATTGCATGTTTACTATAGTGTTTATATGTTAGTGCTTGGACTTGGAGGTCTTAAAGGTGTTTTCAAACCTAAATAATCCTATGATTTTATAATGCTGAAAAAGGAAATCCATCCTCTAAGAGTTATCTGCAACTGACATCTCAGCTTGTTCTCTTATGTGAAACTTGACAGTGATATCTATATAGTGCATATTCAAGAATGCTGGCTTCTGTACTGTAACTAATTTTTTCCAAAATTTAGCAACTCAACCGGTGTTAATGTGTTTATGTGTAATGGAAAGTTACAAATATAGGTCTTGATAGAGTTTATTGTAACAGCTCTTGTGAGCTCAAAGTCTGTTCTACCTAGAGAAATTTTAATTCACTAATCAAGAGCCCTACAGACTGTAATGGCTGTGTCATTATGTGTAACCATTTACATGATGGGCCATAATAGTTTCTTTGGAATAGTTATAGCCTATTATGTCAATTGGATTTTCATGCATAAGTACTAGATCTGTGTGCTGAAAGGCTTTCCATAGCATAACCCGGACCTTTAATGGATGTTATTTATCCATGTGTCTTCCCAGTTTAATCAATGGTAATGCTTTTTTTTATTGTGCATATTTCATTTTGGGAATATTGAAAGGCTTTTGAATTTGATCATTAGAAAAAATGTTTCTTGTGGTGATTGTCTGCTTTTCTTTTGCAAAACATAAATACATGCAAGGCATTTTGAGGAAGGAAAGGTTAGGGATTGAGGAAAGAAGGAAAAATTATTTTTTTTGTACCATGTGCTGACACCTGGACAATCTTTTCCATTTTGACAGGCTACAGAGTTTAATTAGTAATGTGTGCATATGGCATAATGCATTCACAGCAACACATTTATTTTTCTTGGTTCTCTGTGAATTGTGTTTTTCTGATGAGTGCTGGACAACTTTGTCTTCTGCCCCATATAATTTCCATAACTTATGTCCTATCTTTAGTGCTCTGGTTTCTGCTTTATCAAAACTACTTTCATCAACAGCCTCATTCCTGTGCCACTCCCAGTGTAAGTGGCCTTCTCTGTAATTCCCTGTAGGCATGCAGCCAGTTCTGAGATGGTCCCATTTTATTAATATTTTCATTCTCTAGCAGATACTGAAAGATCAGATCAGACTGGCTGCTGGAGAAGTCCAGTTATGCGCAATAGCTTCAGACAAACTTGGACTTTCAATAGCGTTGGCAGACATGTTCTCCCATGTCTTTGTTGTGGTTTGATGTGGTTGTCATGTTCACATAGTTCTCATGATGGTGAGGCTGTGATGGTGGTATACTTCACCTACAAATAAACTTGACCCTTCAAGGTCAATCAAAACCCAACTGTATGAGAGAAAGCTACTTCCATTAGCTATCAAATAAGTCAGCATAGTATTTTCTACTTGGCAATTCATCCTGTTCTTTTTAGCAAGATAAGCTGATTGTTCTCTTTCTTTTCTTTCTTCCCCCTTTTTCCTCTGCCTCCAGATACCTCACTGATATTTCTAATACTGATATTTCTAATACAAATTGAGATTTCACAGTGTCCAAAATGAAGCTTGAAGACCACATACTATTAGTGGCTTAACCCTTGACTAGTGTCTGTAGTAACACTACATAAATCATGGATTGTTATTTATAAAAGTACTTTTTCTTTCCACATTTACTCACATCACAAGAACGTGCTCCAATTAGAGAAACAGAAACTAATGAAAATAATTAATTATTTTTCTTTGTACTTTATACTCCTAACACAGTCAAGTATTTCCTGACTCCACTGTTCTTTTCTGTGGCTGCTAATTGTATCAAAGATTTCTTTCAGTATGTCCATTCTGTCACTTTCCATGTAGAAAACCAGCAGAAAGTCTTCTGCTTTCAAGTGCTCCTAGAGGTAAAAGATAAGCTTGTGAGTCAGAGAGAGAAGGAACTTG